ATCGATTTCCTGAAATGCCTTATCTTGATCTGTTAATCCCTTTGACTTTACTCCATCCCTCCTTCCTTCTTAACCAGTCTAATTTCCACTGGCAACTGCAGAACAGAAGGAAGCGCAGAACAGAGACGGCAAACGGGAATAGAGAAGAGGAAGGGAGGACCTATTACATCTTATATCGCTTCATCCTTTCTGTGACCATATTGTCAATCAGGAAAGCTGAATCAGACATGAACACGGGAAATCTGTTGAAAATAACATTTGTAGGGCCGGCCCGTGGCTCACTCGGGAGACTGTGGTGCTGACAACACCAAGGCCGCGGGTTCAGATCCCATATAGGGATGGCCGGTTAGCTCACTTGGGAGTGCGTGGTGCTGACAACACCAAGTCAAGGGTTAAGATCCCCTTACGGGCCATCTTTTTTTTTTTTTTTTTTTTTGTCTTTTGTCTTTTTCCGTGTCCGGCAACGGATCGCAACCCTCAGTGTTGCCCCTGTACCGGACTGGGGACCGGCAACGGGATCGCAACCCTCGGCGTTGCCCCCGCGCCTCGCTCAGCCAGTGAGCGGGAACCGGTCCATGCGTGGGATCCGAACCCTCCCGGCAACGGGATCGCAAGCCTCGGTGCCACTCCCGCGCCTCGCTCAGCCAGTGAGCGGGAACCGGTCCATACGTGGGATCCGAACCCTCGGGCGGGAGCGCCGCTGCGCTTCCCAAGCGGCGCACTATTTACGGGCCATCTTTTAAAAAAAATAAAAAATAACGGGGCAGGCCTGTGGCTCACTCGGGAGAGTGTGGTGCTGATAACACCAAGGCCACGGGTTCGGATCCCATATAGGGATGGCCGCTTAGCTCACTTGGGAGTGCGGGGTGCTGACAACACCAAGTCAAGGGTCAAGATCCCCTTACCAGTCATCTTTAAAAAAAATAAATAAAAATAAAATAATAAAATAAAATAAAATAAAAAATTAAATTAAATTAAAATTAAAAAATTTAAAAAAATAAGTAACATTTGTAAAAGGCACTGGTTGACCAACAGAGACTTTTGAGAAAGACTGTAAGCGTGGATTTGTGTAGTTCTTGTGACCGTGTCAAGAAAACTTAATCAAATATCAAAGCTCTCCAAATCCTAACTGTAACAAGTCCTGAATCCCTTGCAGGTATGTCCTGGATGATGAATACACAAGCTCAGTAGGCTCCAAATTTCCGGTCCGGTGGTCACCACCAGAAGTCCTTATGTATAGCAAGTTCAGCAGCAAATCTGACATTTGGGCTTTTGGTAAGTGGATAAAATTGTACAGATTATACAGCTCAAAGGAAGGGGAATGCAATGGGAAAATTCACACTTTGCAAACTGCACAGAGGGATTTGTCTTGCTTTTATTCAGCTAATCCTTAGGGAGTGCTTACTATGTGTCAGGCACAAGAGGGGTTTCTGAGGATAAAAACAGTAAACTGGGCATGATCACTGCCTTCTTAAAACTTACAACATATTGTCAGAAACAATTTGTTCAGTATTCAACAATTTCTAAATACTAATTACGTACCAGACCCTATAACTACAAAGACAAATTAGATGCCATCTCTCTTCTAGAGGAGTTCATAGTCTAGTGTAACCCCGATGGCCAGCCAGTGTGGTCAGTGCTATAGCAGAAGTTTGGACAAGATGCAAAAAGCACAGAGCGGGGGAACCAGCTGATTCTAATCTTTGAGGTTGATCTAGGAAGACTAGGAGCCCTACTACCCCAAAAGACTGCAAACCAACTTAATGCATTTTTTTTTAATATTCTAGGGGTTTTGATGTGGGAAATTTACTCCCTAGGGAAGATGCCATATGAGAGATTTACTAACAGTGAGACCGCTGAACACATTGCCCAAGGCCTACGTCTCTACAGACCTCATCTAGCTTCAGAGAGGGTATATACCATCATGTACAGCTGCTGGCATGAGGTAAGTGTTTTATTGTGACCTCTTAAATTGTTTGCTTGAGGGCCGGCCCGTGGCTCACTCGGTAGAGTGCGGTGCTGATAACACCAAGGCCCCGGGTTCGGATCCCACATAGGGATGGCCGGTTTGCTCACTGGCTGAGTGTGGTGCTGACAACACCAAGCCAAGGGTTGACATCCCCTTACCGGTCATCTTTTAAAAAAAATTGTTTGCTTGTACCTACTTTCCCATGTAGCCGGCCAGTCTCACTCTCCATGGCGGCATGCCAGCTGGGCACAGACTGACAGCCGCAAACATTCTGTGACCCCAGCCTGCACCCCAGTCCTCTGATGGCCAGAGGCTTTCCCTGGCCCACCCCAGTTCTTACGAGAGTATCATTAGTAGACCTCAAGACCAACTCAGCTCTAGGGAAAGTGGATGTTGTGTGGCCATGTCACCTAGCATAAGCAGGCAGCCAAAGGCACTCAGACAAGTTTATGAGCATTACAAGAAAAAAGTCATTAAAGTTTGTGCTCATTCCTTGGGGAGTCATTGGCCCTTTCTTCTACTTTACTAGCTGCCAACCTTTTCTGGCTGAGGTCCTAAAAGAGATTTTTTTAAAAAAACCTAAGGCCTTAAAAAGAACTAAAATAGGTAGAGGTTTTTCTTGGCTTTGTGTTGTTTTTGTTTCTTAACGTGGTGCGTTGTGACGTAGGTGGGTATGTGTGGTATTTTGGAAATAAGGAGTCTGTCCCACTATTACTAAAATGCTTTGCTGCTCTCACCTTGGGTTCTACCTGAGAAAAGTGCTTCCTCCACTTTTCAGTAGATCTTTGGCAACCTAAATCTCTAGTAGGAAATAAATGCTTAGCTCTTAGTCCTGCTCCACTAGAAACAGGGAAAGACAGACAGTATCCAACAAGCACACTGTACATCTGGAGCCCTCCTGGTGAGGTGGAAAGTGGGTATCTGGATCAGAGCATGGCTCCTTTTCCTTGAACAAATGACAGAGTTCACAAAGAAAGTGTGGAGAGATGGAGAACCCCTTGGAGTCATTTCCCTTCCCTCTCCTTTGTGATGCAGGATGGTTGGCTATGCTCCCTCCCAAAAGGGACATTCTCACTCTGCTAGTTAAAATTTGTTTCAGACAGGCGCTTTCTTTACAGTTTAAGTTAGTGGTCACAAAACTGGATGCACATCGGAGTCCCTGAGAAACTGTTAAAAATCCAGATTACTGGGCCTCATCTCCAGAAATTCTGATTAATTATGTTTGAAGTAGAACCCTGAAATCTCTTTTTAAACTTCCCAGGAAATTCTGATGTTAGCTAGGTTTAAGAATCACTGATTCAAAGGACCAAGAAATTGATGACTCTTTGGTTCTGACAGATTGAGACCATTCTGGTATGAATGTTCCCTGAATCACTAAACCCCTCAGGGGCTTATGGACCATGGCTGTCAAAAAAAAAAAAAAAAAAAACCCTTAGTCTGGAGGCCAGACAGTGGTAACAAAAGATCCCAGGTGCTCAGGATGCCTGCCTAGCGCTGCAACCTGTGGCTTTGAAATATTAATCCCTTTGTTAACTTTGGCTTTAGGATACTAGAAACATTGTCTGAAACCAAAGTAAAAATTATCACAACTTGTAGGATTTCTGTTCTGCCAACGACTTAAACTTATTTGGTAGCCAGTTTTCACTCAAGGCTCCAAAATAAGAATGCATCGTGTACAGTCATGTAATGAACTTGGCCTGAATTTTAATCAATGTTTGTCAGTTTAATTAGCAAATTGTTCTTATCACACTAAAACCTGAGTTACTAAAGATGAAAAGTGCACAAGGACTTTATGGAGAGCTATTATTCTTTTCCTTTTTTTTTCTTTTGTAATCGACAGGGCATGCTAATGGGCATATAGTACGTACTTAATAAACATTTCACTGCATTTCCCTTGAATTTTGAATTCTAGCCACTATGACACTACTTTTTCTTTGGTTTTAGAAAGCAGATGAACGTCCCACTTTCAAAATTCTTCTGAGCAACATTCTAGATGTCATGGATGAAGAATCCTGAGCTTGCTAATAACCTTCTTGGTTCTACTCCTCTCCTGTACAAGCTCCGATTTCACTTTCTCTGAAGAAAAAATACCAGGCTTGCAGGCCCTGGAGCCTTTGCGCACCCACTGAGTACACAAAGGCCCCTCTCTCCATCTAGGAATGCCTCTCTTCTTCGCTTCCCTGGGATAGTGCCTTCTGAGCAAAAGCCAAGGAATTATTGTGCCTGGTATTGCCACATAACCCCCCACCCGACCGAGGAAACTTCCCAAGAGTAATAAGACGGACTTTATTTGGGATAGAAACATTTTGGGGAGGGAGGGATGTAAATAGCCTCATAAGGGGGTTCAATAGCTCTTTCAGTAGGCATTAGAGTTTGGGGGTGGGGAGGGCAGAATTTGGCAAGATGAAACGGTGTTATCAAAACGGGAGGGGAGGGTGTTTTGATAAAATAAAATTACTGGAAAGTACGAAGGTTCTGCTATCTCAATTAATCATGCAGCCTCCCTGAAGCAGCCTATCTCAGTATTCCAGAGACTGCTGTTTGGCACTGGTTTGGTATATTCCTACATCGAGACCTGGACTGGATCCTCAGCATTTAACCCCTCCTGCGCTTGTTAAATCCTGCCTCCGAATCGGAGATGAATTTACAAGCCAAAGCACGGTGCCTGGCACACAGTAGGCATGTAAAATTACTTAAATGAATCTAAAAGTTGGGGACAAAGAACTAGAGCCAGGGGCCCAGGATGGCCACCTGACGGCAGAGAGCAACCCCAGCAGCGAAAGCGCGGGCCAATTTGGAAACGGGCAGGGGCGGAGCTGTTGGGCCGGCCCGGATCGGGCCACGTGTTCTGAAGTAACTTCCTTTTTCCCTTTACTCTTTTCTTCTTGGAGTCACGCCTCGACAGCGCCTCGGGGCCGGGCTGCAAGCCCTGAGCCTGGAAGCGCAGGCGGGTGCAGCCGCGGGGCTGCAGGCGGCAGGG